GGGCTCGTGCGGGCTCCGCCAGCTTCAGGAAAGTGCTCCACTGCTCCACAGAGCCTGCACCAGCTCCCCACCCCAGCCTCCATCCCTGCCTTGCCACATCTTGGGAGGGCCACTGCCTGCCCCAAGTGAGGCTGTGCCAGCTCGGAGACACTGCTCCGCTCTCTCTCTCTCTTACTGCACTTCTTCCAAGCAGACCTGCCCTTGCAAACTTGCCTGAAACTGGCCTGTTGGCCCCAAAGCATTCCTTTTTTCCTGCTTTCTCACACCAAGCTGAAAGATTTGCCCCTCAAAAAGCAGGGGGGGAGTGCCATGAACTGGCCCAGGAGCCCCTGCAGCCCCTGGTCACTGGCTCCCTGGTCACTTGAGGAGTCTTCTTTTATACCCTGCTAATCCATGCATTCTCTTTCACATCCATGTGAACTGATTATTGCCAGTTGGGGTCCATGTACATACCGTCTGCATAAAATAAAATCAACATTAGACTTTTTTTAATATAGGTATGCTTTGAAACATGTCTTGTTTACAGATTAACTTTTCATTAAAAAACATGAGTTCTACTTGTTTATTTGAACTATAGCATTCACTAAGCCAGCTTTAATAATATTTCAAACCATACAGTGACTACACAGTTGGTTCTGTCCAAGGCTGAGCACACATCATGCTAGCTACAGTAAGCACTAGGGCCCATTTGTATGAAACCTACTCTAGTACTGAAGCCTTATGATCTATGGCAACAGTCTTAATACAACTATTCTACAACTGGTACCCTTGAATACTTTGGAGAACATGGGAGACTTCTACAATTTTCTTCTTTTTTTTCCCAAAAAACTTTTGAGGGTCCTAGGTCATGTATTTAATTTAGTCTGGTTTTACACCTTACTTAACTTCTGTTCAGAGGCACTTGCTGGGACAGGGGAACAGGCAATCAGTGGACTAGTGCTTATGTATCACTAGCTGTACCTTATTTGGGAGTGGACTAGCATACACACTGATATGTGAATAAGTCTACCTAGCAGCTAAACCAAGAAAACCCATTCTGTCAAGTGTGCTGGTAACCTAGTTGTAGATCACCTAGTCGGGAGTCTAGTCACCTGATGTGGATGCATAAAGGCCACTGGAGCTTAAAAGTTAAATGGTCTCTTTTTATAAGAAAAGAGCAGAAAGAGCGGAAAGCTGGCTGCAAGAATATGGCTATAGGATTTTGAGGAGAAGCCATGGGCAGGAGCTCCTGGACACATCAGAGATCTCTCATCAAAGCCCAAAAAAACATTCCAAAATGGCCAGTTAATGACAGGAAAACGTGTTAATCTAGATCTGTATATTTCTAGTGCTAGCTAAAGTAAAAGGTGATTGGTATAGGGGACACTGATGAATACAGATGAGTGGGATATGGTTTTCCTGTCCTGTGAAAGTTTTGTGATTTCAAAACTTTTTCTTTTCCAGAAAGGAATAAACTAAAACCTTTCAAAATGGGCAGAAAACCCCCATGAGAGATTGGCCCTTTCTTGCACCACAGATTTGATGGTATTTTGGTGGTCAATCAGATAAATCAGTGACTTGACAGTAGGTTTTCCATATCTTTGATGAGTACCTTAGAGCAGGATGTGGGTTTGTGGGTCAGGGTTTCTCTCTTTCTGATTTTTCATGGAAAACCTCAAAAGGTCTTTGTTTCATCTGATGCACAAAGGGAAATCTTGTGAAAACTCAGAAAGTTTGAATAGTTAGAAAACTTTTTTGTGTCCAGTTCTAGTGTCAGTAAGTATTTTAAACAATGCATTATTATAATTCACCACAAGATTTAAAGTATTGTAGTATTTCATGTTCACCTAAATAAATGGGAAAAAATGTATGTTTTTTTTAAATCCACAGAGAAAAAAAACTAATATTCAGTTTACATAAAAGTTAAACTTCAGATAATGTTTCTAACAATTTGTAATATATATATTAAGTACTTATTAAGTGTCTCAATTTTCATATCCGCAAATATTTAATAGAACTAGGAAAGAGAGAACATTTCTGGACAAATTTGTTATTGTAATAATAAATTAGGTTTGGGTGATAGTGAAACATTTTGCAAGTTCTTTTTCGCTTCACTTCATTTTCATTTAAGTTCCTTTCAAATGTTATTTTTGAAAAACTGGAATCTTTTGTTTTGATAGTTTTAAATGGAAATATTTTGACTTTTTTATTGAAATGATATCTTGTTTTGAAATTCCCTTTGATTTTGTAAATAAAGATTTTTAAAAATGCTTGCAATAAAAATGAAATACACTGACCAAGTGATAATTATTTTCAAGTTTGGATTTTACAATAAAAAGTTTTAAACCAATTTTTCACTTATGATTCTTTTTATTTTTTTCCAGAACTGCCAGTATAATAAAAAAATCAATTACTTGCACAGCTATAAATAGAAGTAGTTTAAACAGTTGCTACTTACTAGAGAAGGCCTCTTCCTCCTATAATTTCTGAAAATATTGCCTTTGGGGATGGGTATTTTCAAGAATTATATCCTGTCTTCTCTAGTAAGGATTGCCTGACAGAACAGTGTCAGCACTGGAAGTACCATTCTAGAGAGAGAACAAGTAAGAAAAGTAACATCAGGCTAAGCTATATAGGGAAAATAAGCATTTCAAGAACAGGCAGAGGATATGAGATCTGGAGATGTGCAAATATCGTAAACATTTACTGTGATAATCCCTATAGATTTTAATCTGAATTCACTTTAGTATGCTCATGGAATTCCTGCATATATTTCAGTGACCCAGTTTAATGAGACAAATATTCCTTGCAGGAAAATTTCATTTGGGAGGTGGCAGGGGGTACCATATTTGCACCTGAAGAGCTTGTACAGTCTTCCAGTCCAGGAACTAGACAATACCACATGGTTTCATTGACCAAATGCAACAAAGCTGCACAGCTCAAATGTACCTCTTGCATATTTACCATGAGCCAAAAAATTGTCAGATAAATTTAAATAAGTAATATTCTCTGCGCAGAAAATATGGAATAAATTAATCTAATAAATGATTTGTTCCTCTCTAACCTAGTCCTGTAATGCTGCCATTTTTATATATATATTTTAATTTCAGCGGCCTTTTTTTCCCCATCAAATATCTCCATCAATTTTACCATACAGAGACATCTACATTAGGTATCTCTTGAACTCATTTATATTCTTTTTTTCCCCAATGGCTTATTCTGATCGCTTCTTGTACTCTGCATAAAATTGTTGAGCTTGTGTTTCATGCTTATTCCTGGTTTCCTTAAGGTCTGGAAGGCATCTAATCTTAAGGGCCAGACCCAGTATTCCTTAACCACTCAGTACTCTTTAAGACCCCTGTTGAAGTAAGCTCTGTTTGTAAAGCTCCCGCCCGTTCACTTTGGGGGCACTATATAAACTGCCGTATGTGTTTTCAGTAAGTAAAAATGGCAGGATCAGGTCCCAAGTGAGTTAAGAGTGGCTGTTAGACCACAAACTGCTACTGGAAAGGCAGCTGGCTAATTGGGGTAGGGCAGCTGAAAAGGATCTGTCTGTTTGCCTTGAAGTTCCTCTCATCTCTGTCCTCCTCTTCCTTTGCTTTCCTCCTATCCTTTCATTTATTAGTAGGAAAGCTGAATTGGGACCCTGAAAGCAGCTGTTCACTTCAGATTCTCCAGAGCAAGTTTGCTCCAGAGGTGCTTAGCCACTTCTCTGAGACTGCTGCCTGTCAGGGTGCAGCTGGGAAGGGAAGTAGTGGTTTCCTTCAGAGTGCTGCTGGAAGAAAGCTAGCCACAATGTTTGAGGGGGAAACCACTGACTTCCCTTCTCAGCCTGGCAGCAGTGCTCATTAGTGCGAGACAAACAGACGTGCTCCCTTGAGATTAACTGCTATTTGCAAACCTGAAGTAAGAACACTTTCAGAGGTCCCAGGACTGTGTCTCATGTAGCGGTTAAAGTTTACAGGCTGGGGGAAAGGAAATGAGAGGCAAGTGGCAGATGAAGAGGAGAAAGAAGGAGAAGTCAAAAGCTTTCTGGGGAAAAGAAGGGAGAAGGCAGGGAGGGAGGGAAGCATGAGCATATGAAGAGAAAGGAATTGGAAGGGCTACAGTATAACTCCACAGTACACATTTCATTGTGTATCAACCACTCTGCTGGACTATGTTGTCACTCCACTGAAGCCAATGAAGTTACACTGAGGATGAATTTGGCCCAGTCAGCATAAAGAAAATTAATCTGTGCTATTTCCCAGCAGTGCACCACTTGGGGCTGTTGATATAAAGATATGACATCACCAAAAAAGTTCTAACAACCAATCAAAATGTAGCTTTGGTAAATCGGCATCCAAAGTGCTACTGTAATTGCTGCTTCTGAAATGTTTAAAGGGTAAATACAGGCAGTCCTCGACTTACCGTGTGTCGAGTTACAATGTTTCGCATTTGCAACATTTATAAATTGACACCAGTTTCAACTTTCTGATGTCAGTTTCAACTTTACACTTGAACCGATGCAATGCCACCAGTGAACAAGTTCACTGTGTCACCCACATCCCTGGAGAACATCTGTCCAAACTTCCTTGGACACTTTCTTTAAGAAAGCAGACAAGACTCCAGAAAAACCTGCAGCCAAGACTCCTGAGAAGACTCCAGCCAAGAGCCCTTCAAAAAGTCCAGCAAAGTCACCTCAAAGAAGTCCTTCCAAATCAATATGATTGCTATTTACAATATAAATACATTAATGTAGCTATATTAATCATCTATAATTGATTGAGTACAAAATTCTGGGTTATTTTTGGTGAAAATAGGGTATCGGGCCTTGGTTCAGGAACCAATCCCCCATTTATAACATTGTTTCCTATGGGAAAATCAGTTCCGAGTTACATTTCGACTTAAGACACTGTTTTCAGGAACAAGTTGTGTCGTAAGTTCAAGGACTGCCTGTAGTACATTGCAGGCTAATGAACTTGAATAATGTAACAAATACGAACAGGTCCCAAATTAACCCCTGCCCATTATTTTGAAATTCTTTGATTTTACAAGAGTGGCCTGATCTATATTTTAACAGAACTCTTATGAAAAAGGTCACTGAAGTCATTTGTTGGCAACATTTTGCAAACATTTCCTAAAGGTTTTATTCTAGACAGTTATGTGACTCTTCCACCTTGCAGCCTTTGTAAGTATAAGAGCAGCTGTTTACATGGCAAGATTCAGTAGCCATCATAGGAAATTCATTTGGTCATTGGACCTCAGCGTCATGTGCCAGTGAAAACTGTGTTCCTGCTAATAATGGAAGCAAAACTAAAAATGACATCTCCCTCCATTTTCAATAGAAAAAAACAACTGTGAAAGCCAAAAATATTGGTTTCTCAGGGCACCAATAAGAGCCTTTGCTCTCTTTTGCAAAACAAACAAGAAAGTGCCTAATATTTCTTCTCTGTGTTCAACTCGGTTGACTTTATTAGCTAAGATATAGGTATATTTTATGCTCAACATTTGCCTTGCAAGCGTGCAGTGAAATCTGTAGTTTATATGATGAGTGCAGAGTTTCTCACTGACAAGTGATGCTGGGTTCCAAAGACTGCTGAGAGCATGTTTCTTTCATGGTTCTTTTTACCCTGCCAATTGCTTTTCTTATCCTACCCAAGAGAGGAATCACATGGAAAGATGAATTCCCTTCCTTTAAGTGCCTTCCTTGGTGTGTGTCTCTTTTCCCATGGAGACACAAGAATATCTCCTGGAGAGACTGTAAGAAAGTTCTTGTTGCAGAATAGGTAGCCAAATATTGGAAAAAATATATATGTGAGCTTTGGGGGTGACAGTGAAGAAGATGTTTATTGTAACTCTCATAGGGAAGAGGACTGTTTCTTAGAAAAATCTCCTGCCTTTTGGAATTACGTATGATCAGACTTCTCTGCCAGAATGGAGTAACTACATAATGATGGGTATCTTTCAGGAGAGAGTAATTGTGGGTACTTCTTGTAACACACCTGCAAGTAGTGGCATTCTTAAGTTTTCAATTGCCTGGTCTCTACTCAAGAAACCAGGTTCACCACCCTGTTTCCAGTAGAAGGC